TGAATGTACCATGGACTGCCAAGAAAACAAACAGATTCATCCTGGAGAGCGTTAAACCAGGCTGCTCCTTGGAGGCAAAGATTCTGGGGCTTCATGTGACATACTTTGGGCATGTTGCAAGGAAAGACAGGTCTTTGGAGAGGGACATCATGCTGGGTAGAGTAGAGGGAAAGCGCAGGAGGGGAAGACCCTCTATGAGGTGGATTGATTCAGTGACTGGGGTAATCGGGATGGGTGTGTCAGAGGCAATGAAACTGGCACAGGATAGAGCAGGGTTTAGGGCTGTTGTACATAGGGTCGCTATGAGTCGCAAACGACTAGATGGCACATAACAACAACAAGAAGAAGTAAGTTATTAAAAAAACTTCTTACCAGGAAATAAAAAAAGGTAATCAAGACATAATTTGTATTCAAAGAACTAGAAAATAAACTCATTACTGGACTTCTCTACAACTTCATCTGCAAACGCTTTATAGGAGAGACTTCTTACAGAGATACCATTTTATTAAGTTCTAATTATTTCATTTAACTCTTAAAACAGCACAATAAAATACATACTATTTTTTCTCACTTTTAGAAGCCCTAGAGGCACAGTGTGTAACTAAGGGCTGCTAACCAAAATGTGGGCAGTTCAAATCTATCACTGCTCCACTGGAGAAAGATGGCAGTCCCCTTACTTGAAAATATACAACCTCAAAAACCCAAGGAGTGTCAATGAATAGAATCCATTTGAGAAAAGTACAAATTTGGTATCCTTAATTTACCAAAAGTAAAATTTAGCTGAGGCCTAACTTAGTTGTGATAACAATTAAAACAGAGACAACACTGAAGTTAACAAGGATCTCATTTATTTGGATTCACAATCAACAGCCATAAAAAGTGAAGAAATCAAACTATGCGTTGGTCAAATCTGCAGTAAAGGATCTCTTTAAAGTGCTAAAATACAAAGATATCATTTTAAAGACTAAAATACTTTCAAAACTAGACTGTTAAGTGCTGTCAAGTCATCCACAACTCATCAATCTTAGGAACAACAGATCTGAACCTTGCCCTGTCCTGCACCATCCTCACCATCCACACTGGTGCTTCATAAATCACTGTGTCAACAATATTTTACTGAAGGTCTCCCTGTCCTTCTCTGATCCTCCACCTTTCTTGGTGTCTTTTTTCAAGGACTGACCTCTCTCCCTGACAATATGCCCCAAAGAAAGTGAGATGAAGTTTTAACATCCTCGCCTCTAAGAAACACTTTGGGTGTACTTCCTCCAGAACAGACTTTTTTAAATGTACAGATTTTATAAAAGGAAAATAAGTTGGCAAGGATGTGGAGACCTATTTTCTGTTAAGAATATAAAATTGTACAATTACTGCAGAAACAGTGTGGCAGTTACTCAAAAACTAAAAACAGAACTACTCTATGACTCAGCTATTCCACTCCTATGTATACATCCAAAGACTTAAGAGTACAAACAGAGACAATAAATGAAGACAAAATAGGAGCTTGGATACATTATGCCTGTAAAACAAGTAAAAGGCAAATGTACAGACTAAAGTTTCTTAGTTCTTACTAGGGTTAGAAAAGGGGAAATTATTCTTTTTAAAAAAAAAAATTATTTTGTGTGTGTGTACCATCAAATCAGATCTGAATGATAAAGGAGGAGATTGTCCCTCCTCCAGCAGAGCATCTGGTGGATTCAAACTGTGCAACTCCGGGATTGCAAGTGCAGCTTCTTGCCACTAGGCCACCAAAGCTCCCTTGGGAAGTTATTCTTTATAGAACAATGGGTGATGGGTAGTCATTGCCTACAATGACCTGAAATATAAACAATCAACTGTAAAAGGTTTAGGATGTGATGCAAGAGCCTTAATTACTTCCCAGCTGTCTTCTGATGGGTGTGGCTTTTAAGAAATAAAAGGGTAAAGGAAGTAGAGAAGGGGTCTTCAGAACCACCAAGAAATAATGGTCAGGAAAGGGACATAGTCTTTGGACCAAGGTCCCTATACTAGGAAGCTTTCTCAACACAATAGGAGGCTAGGGCATGGAAATTGCCAAGAAATACTAAATATCAGTAAAGCAACAAGGAACTCACTCCAGAAAGGACAGCAAGAATGAAAGTCTTTTAGAACTGGCATCCACAATTCTTGAACTGCAAGACAAGTTTCCCTTATTTGCTAAAGCCATCTTGTGGTATTACTGTTTACAGTAGCTTTCTTAAAAATTCTTTTAAAAACTATTTGAAAAAATAATAAAGAAAAAACACCCTATCTTTATGGAATCCAATTTGTAGCACTTTTCAATTATCAAATAGGAAACTTTGAGAACAGTAAGTTTATATTAAAGGGAAAACGAATAAATTTAAAAAAAGGTTAAGTCAAAGAAGCCAAAGACACATAGTGCCACTGAATTATACATGTATAAGCTATTTAGTTGGTGTATGTTTTTTTTTCCTTGTGTAATTATTTCCAATGATAATAAAAAAATAAAAGTGTTTATCTGGTGGCTTAGGGAGCTCTGGTGGCCTAGTGGCAAGAAGCTGTGCTGCAATCCCAAAGGCATGCAGTTCAAGGTCAGATGGGCACTCTCCTGCATGATTAACTGCCTCTGAAAACCCGCTGGAGGGTCAGCGTATAGGTCAGTTCTGACTCTACAGTATATAACAACAATCTGGTGGCTTAGTGGGAAAGAGTTAAGCTACCAAACCCAAAAGTTCATGGTTCAAATCCACCAAGTACTTTGCGGGAGAAACACGGGCAATTTTCTTGCATGTGATTTACGGCCTCTGAAAACCCACTGGAATGTCAGATATGAGTCAGTTGTGACTTGCTGGTACACAACAGCAACATGCTGAAAAAGATGAGCTCTGGTAGCCAACCAACTGGAAGAGACTCCAGTTTGTTTCTTTAAAAAAAACCTAACATGATCCAATAGAGTATGGAAATGATCAAACAATATCATGCACAACTAAAATCTTGCTGTCGTCCTCCGCGATGTGCACTAAACCAGAAGCTGTTTATCTTCCAGAGTCCACCAATGACTTCACAGGACAAAGAGGTGGTACCTCCTGTTGTGTCCTGAACAGAATAGAAAGTGATTGAGTTGGAACTGACTGGATAGCAAGTGTTTAAGTTGAGATACTCAAATTATTCAGGTATTAAAAATATTTAAGTGGTTATGAACTGATGTTAAATCTCTGTGTCTGTCAAACGCTCTCTCATGATCTCAATGTTATCTATAATTTATTCTGATCCATGAGGTCCACTGTCTCGCCACTCAATAAAACAAAAGAAGCTGTTGAGGCCTCCCCTTCATGCTTCCTTTCAGGGAGGGAGGTCGGTCCCTTTGGAAATGTAACTTTTTAATAAACTGATCTTTACTATTTTACCCTCAAAATTAAAACAAAGAGAGAGAGAAGCTGTTGTCCAAACAAAGCAAGAGACAACTGCATGGTTTAAAATCAAGAAAGGAGTGCATCAGAGTTGTATCCTTTCTCCATCTACCTCTATTCAATCTGTATGCTGAGCAAATCTCTAAGAAGCTGGATTCTGTAAGAATGTGGCCTCGGGATCAACTGTGTTATGCAGATGGCACAACTTGCTTGCTCAAAGTGAGGAGGACTTGAAACACTTGGTGCAGAAGGTCAAGAGCTACAACCTTCAATATGGATTGCAACTCAACATCAAGAGACAAAAATCCGCATTGTTAGTGACTTCATCTTATTTGGATCTACAATCAACACCTTTGTTATCCACAATCAGGAGAACAGGAAATGTACTGCACTGACAAAGTCTGTTGTTGGGAACCTCTCCAAATTACTAAGGAAGAACAGTGTCAGTTTAAAGACTAAGATGTACTTGATTCAAGCCACACAATCTTTATTCCATCTACATCACTGTTGTTGTGTGTACTGTAGGGTCAGAACCAACCCACAGCTGATCGATCTTCCTGTGGGTTTTCAGAGGCAGTTAATCACACAGGAGATTGCCCGTCCTTCTCCCTTGGTACTTAATCTACCATGGAAAGGCATCTCTTCTCCAGCCACATTTTTGAGTGCTCACCTTCTGTCATTTTATTTAACAACGTTCTGCTTCTATTCACAAGGGTTTCAGAAGTGGATGGCCAGTCCTCCTTCTTAGTCTTAGTGTGGAAACACCACTGCATCCTGTCCCCTATGGGTGACCCTACTGGAATTTGAAGTATCAGTGACATAGCTTCCAGCATCACAGCAACCTCCTCACAGCTGAGTGGTGGAATTCAGAAATAGAATGACTGCACAGTTCAAAAGATGCAATCAGTGTCATTAAATTAAACACAAAGGAGTTATGCTGTTTTGCCATGTAATTCTAAAAAGAAAAAATTAAGCTTTTGCAACAGTTCAAAATGAATGACCCTAATCATATAAGACATTTGAGAGAACAAATAAACAATTGTTTCAAATGACAAAGGAATAAAGTATTTTAACTATATATCCTTAATGATACATATTCTAAACACATGTGCAAATGCAAAAAAAAAAAGGTATCTTTCTCCAAGATGACACAAAAGTACCTAAGGTAAAATTACACTGTTTCTAAGATTTCCAATATAGAAATAACTCAAAATCTATGTGATAGGTACGATTCTCTCTACATTTATGTGTGAAAATTGTCCCATTTAAAAAAGGAAAATTTTTAAGTCTTTTTAAACCTCAACTGTTTCCACTACATTTTAACTCCCAACTCCCAGAGTAGTTGCTAGGCCAGTACCTTCAGCATCTCCCCATGCACCCCCACCAGACAGCACATCCAGGCTTTCTTGTCTTAGGCCTGCCATTGTCCCTTGTATTGCTTCTGTCCAAGGTGCCTTGCTTCCTTTTCTACCAACTTCCAACCCAAGTGCTTCAAAATTCTTCAAATGGTCTTCTTTAATTGCCCTCAGTCTGTCTCTGTATTTGCAATATGAGCTTAAATCTTTTTAAAATCTTATCAAAGCAGGTGAAAAACTTTTAGAGATGGTCTTAAAAGTGGCTTTATCTCTCTACCACCACAAACCACTCAAGACTATCAACTAATTGTCACGCTACTACATTCTGTATGAGTGGAAAGAGATATGCACAAGCCTACCTGACTATAGGCTGGGATGTCTTTGAACGGTCCATAATCCAGGAGGTCTTCTGAGCGCGTGGGGTTCCCCAGCTTGCTGTAGCTCTCCACGTTCCGGGAGGCAAGTTTCACACGCATAGTTTGTGTCTTTGTTGGATAGGGAGAATAGAAATAATGGTTCCCCTCAAACACTACAAACTGTTTCTCTGACTGAGTGATCTGTGTTGGATAAGGCTGAAGGACATGAGTATAGACTGTTTCCACAACGACAGAAATCTTGGACCCAGGATCAAGAGCAAACGGGAGCTTGACCATGAAGAATTTCCCACTGGAGAAAGAAAACAAAGCAGAAAAATTACAGAAGTAAAAAACAGAGTAAGCAGATCAAAGGCACTGGAAAATTCTGCACCTAAGACATAAGCAGTAACTTTTACGAGATCAATCTTAATATGGTATTTCAGTCATTTAACAAAGGCCATAGTCTTCACAATTGCATGCTATAAGTCAGAGAGCTGAGACAGTGACTCGTGATGATAGTAAGGGAATTGATGCCTTTGAGCTGTGGTGCTGGAAAAGAGTGCTGAATATACTATGGACTGCTAGAACAAACAGGTTTGTCCTATAGAGGATAAAACCAGGCTGCTCCTTGGAGGAAAGGATTCTGAAGTTTTGTCTGACATACTTTGGACATGTTGCAAGGAGGGACGAGTCCATGGAGAGGGACGTCATGCTTGGAAGGGTGGAAGGACAGTGCAGGAGAGGAAGACCCTCTATGAGGTGGGTTGATTGGCTGGGGTAATTGGGATAGGTGTGTTGGAGACAGTGAGATTGACACAAGATAGAGCAGGGTTTAGGGCTCTTGTACATAGGGTCACTATGAGTCGCTAACAACTTGATGGCACATTAACAACAACAACAGTTATTATCAGTGTTATTTATAAGAATAAAAGAGTGTAACCTCCTAAATGTTCAACAAGGAACAGAAAAAACAATCTAGCAGTGTGATCCAATGAAATACTGGTACCCACAAAACTATTTTCTTATCTCCATATATTACGTGGAAAGATGTCCAAGTACAAATAATGGAAATCCATTAACAAATGATACATAAGTGAAGAAAAATATTTCCAAATACCCTTTGCCTGCACCACATTGCCAACATCAATTATTCTTCTTACTTGTTCATGGTCCAGCTTTCACACTGGTATGAAGCAACTGTGGTGTGGACCTTGGTGTAGATGAGGCACACATTAGCCCTCAAAGTGACATCCTTAACCTTCAGCACTTTGAAGAGGTCCTTTGCAGAAGACTCGACCACTGCAATACATTATTTGATATCTTGACTGTTGCTTTCACGAGTATTTTTAATTCAAGCAAATTAAAATCCTTGACAACTTCGATCTTTCCTCTGTCATAAAGCTTACTGGTCCAACAGTGAGGATTTTTCTTTATGTTGCGGTATTTGTGGTAGTGGTGGTGTTGTATGCCATTGACTTTGAATTTACTCAAAGCTGACCATTCAGTGGGTTTTCAGAGACAGAAAATCACACACCCCAATCTTTTCCCGCAATACACACTACTACTATAATCTTTGAGCTTCATCAATAAGTGTTTCAAGTCTTTTTTTTCTCCAAGTCTTCTTTTTATACAAGCCAAGTTGTATCATCTGTTTACTGCAAGTGGCTGATAAGTCTTCCTCGAAATGTGATGTCACATTCTTTTTCACATGGTCCAGCTGGGACTGCGTATTAACTAAATCAATATGTTGAAAAGATACATACCATCGAGTTTATCTTTCCACGTGACTTTTCCAGCCATTACTTGATTTTGCTATGTAGTTGGGCGGAAATATGTGAATGGGGCACGTTAGCTTATCCACAAGGGAATAGCTATCTACCATTCCACAATGGTATCGACCAGTCTCACAAACTACAAGAGGACTGGCTAGTCTCGCCAATAAATTGAATAGCTCTAACCAGAAGAAAGAGAATCCTTCCCAGCCAGAGAAGAAAAGAGACCTTCTCCACCACAGCTGGAACAGCACCAGCAGGCAAATGGAGAATTGGTATGAGATGAGACTTGGGAGGCGGGGAGGCCAATGTTGGCATGTCTGAGAACTTCATTGGATAATTAGGGAGAAACATTATTGGCAGGACTAGAAACTTGGGAACTCCGCAAGGCTTGAGGTTGAGATGCCTGTGGGTGGTGTCTATCTTGGGAGCTGTCTTCACAGTATTCTGTTATTAATCTAAATTATAATCTTTTGGCTTCCCCAATATGGTTCTGTGTGGTCTGTGAGCTGTAAGATCGGATTTTGGACACACTAAAGCAGTTAAGATTGGTGTTGAGATGAGTAGAAAAAAGGTATGGGAGCAGGAGGGACATATCTGACCTCATGGGATTTGGTTCTGTGATTAATGCTGTGGATGCAGAGTTCCCCCTGTGAAGTTGGTACTTTATTATTTATTAATAACATAAATATGAAGTTGATAAATGTATTAACCGTATTTATTACAATCTACAGTTAAATGCTTTCCCCTAAGATGATAAAACACAAGTAAATATATTTCTAGTATTTTCTGCTTTTAGTCAGGATCCATGTGACACAGTAACGCTTCTTGTTTACTGTGCTATTCTGAATCCAGCTAGAGTTTCCAGCAGTCCCATATTGATATTATCACTCCAGCCACTTCCCCCTCCCTCCATAATCTTCAGGAAGATTTTACTTGAGTGTTGATATTTTATAATTTCTACCTTCTGTTGGAGTACAGTTCTTTTGGAATAGACACTCTTCCAGTCGGTTCTCTTCCAAATTTCTGGATACAAACAAGTGATCCCGTCTAGGACTGCGTCTGTTGAAATATTTTTAGTCCATCCATTCCTGGAGTCTTGTTTTTAGCCAATCCCATCAGCACAACTTAGATGTCTTCTTCAATAACACTGATTATTGAGACCTGCTACCTCCAGAAATGGTTTGGTGTGGACCAACTCCTTTTGGTTTCCTGAGTATGTATTTCCTCCACCTTCTTTTTTTTTTTTTAATTTTTATTTATTTATTCTTTTTATGTGTGTACCATCAAATTGGATCTGACTGGTACAGGAGGCGATTGTTCCTCCTTCTTCAGCAGAGCATCTGGTGGATTTGAACCGTGCACCTCTGGGATTGCAGTGCAGTTTTCTGCCACTAGGTCACCAGAGCTCGCCATTTCCTCCACCTTCTTTTGATGCTTCTTTCTGTGTCATTCAAGATTGTGTCCACAGAATCCTTTAGTCTTGCAACTCAAGGCTTCAATCTTTTTTCTTCAGTTCTTTTAGCTTCAGAATACAGAGAATACTTTTTCCTTTTGGTTTTCTAACTCCAAGTTTTTGCATTTTCATTCTTTTTAATAGGTCTGCATATAATCATTCAAATACATTATGCTTTCTTCATCTATATCGCATTTTATATAATCATTCACTTAACATATATATACGTGATCATTCACTTTTATACTCTCATGTGTATACTTTCATGTAAGTTTTATTTTTCATAATTATTAATCTATGACTTCTATTGCCCTGTGTCATCAAGAACCCACTGCAACTTTCTTGTCTTCAGTCCCTTTCCCCTATTGAACAGTCATCTTGTTCCTATTTGCTAACTGCAATACCATGTTGTTGTTGTCTCTGAGTCAAGCACAACTCATAGCAACTCTATGAACAAAAGGCCTGAAGCCCCTCTACAACTATTGACATTTATCAAAGTTCATAGTTTCCAGAGGCATGCTGTTTAGGAAGTGGATACTACTTCCTGCTTCCAAAAATTGTCATATAATGTTATTGGTTGAGTCACCTGCAGTGTATAGTGACCCTCTGTACAGTAGCTCTGAGCCCTTCCCTATCCTGAGCCAGTCTCAATAATTCTGACACACCAACCCCTATCATCCCAGTTACTGTATCAATCCATCTTATCCAGGGTCTTGCTCTCCTGCGCTGTCCATCCATCTTTCCAAATTTGATGTCCTTCTCCAAGGCCCGATGTCTCCTGGCCATGTGCCCAATGTGAGGCAGAGCTTTAAAATCCTAGCCTCCAAGGAGAGACTTGGTTTAACCATCTCCAAGACAGATCAAGGAGGAGAAAAAGTTGTTAAGAAGAAATTAACAACTGGTACATGGAATGTGAGAAGCATGAATATAAGAAAACGGGACACTGTAAAGAAAGAAATGGAATGCATAAACTTTGTTATATCGGTATTAGTGAAATGAGATGGATTGGCATGGGACATTTTTAATCTCAAGATCATATGATCTATTATGGTGAGGATGAAAAGGTGAGAAAAAACAGGATTACTTTCATAGTTTAAAAAAGTCACTTCTAGATCCATCTTGAAATACAATATTGTTGAGTGACAGGATAATATCCATACACATACAAGGAAGACCTGTCCAATTTATGTACCTACAATCACAGCCAAAGAGGAGGAAACAGATGATTTCTATCAACTGTTGCAGTCAGAAATCAATCATGTATCCAAGATGCTTTAATAATAATGGGTGACTAGGATGCAAACACTGGGAATCAGGAAGATGGATCAGTTGTCAGAAAATATGAACTTGGTAACAGAAATAAGGCTGGGGATAGAATGATAGAATTCTGTACAATGATCTATTCACAGCAATAACCATACTGTTATTTCTAGTCTTCCCAGGTTGATCTTCCCCTATCCTGACCTCTGTAGCATTCACTGTCTTCTCATTCTGTTTCTGTTCTCCTTCCCATCCACCTCCCTTATCCTGAAAACCGTCAGTTTCCCTCTTTTCACAGTAGCAGTTTTGCACTTTTCAGTTTTATAGCTTGATTTATCTTCTTGGGTTGCGCTTTGAAAATTTCTTCCATTCACTTTAATTTCTCTACTTTCCAAAGTGAGTTTCAGTGTTTCTTTTGACATTCATTTTGGTCTTTTCTTTCTTTCCTGTCTTCTTAATAGTTTTTCAAATGTCTACCAACACAGTGTTTGGTAGCGCTCCCAGTTTAAGACAGGTTTGGAAGCAGGAGTGGCATTCACTTCCTACACATGCCTCTGGAAACTATGAACTTGGAGAAATGATGATAGTTATAGAAAGGCTTCAGGCCTTTTGCTCATAGGGTCACTATGAGTCTTGCTCAATTCAATGGCAATCAACAACAACTTAATGATCTTCAAGTATGCTGTTCTGATGTCATTCCACAGCTCATCTCGTCTTCGGTCTTTAGTATTCAATGCACCTAATCAATTCTTAGAGATGCTTTTTGAAAATTCAAGTAGGATAAACTCAAGGGCATATTTTTATTCTCACACTTTTTTTATTTTTTTCATCTTCAACTTGAATATGCATATGAGCAATAGAGGGACTGTTCCACAGTTAATTCCCAAACTTGTTCTGACCAATGATATTTAGCTGTTATGTCATCTCTTTCTACAAATGCAGTCACTTTCATTTCTTTATATTATATATGGTAATGTCTATGTGTACAGTTGGTCATGCTTTTTAAAAAGGAATTTGCAGTGATTAAGTCATTAATTCTATAAAATTTTATCATGTAAAATGATAAAACCTCACTTCTATCACCAATTTGTACTTTCCAACCACCAACCCTCCTATACTTCCAACTTCCACATTCAACAATGCTTGATCCATTTCAGTATGTAGAAATTAGTCATCTTTGGCTTTATTCTTTGGCAAGTACGTTTGAGTAGTTGTAGTAATGCACTATATCACCAGGGCTTCTTGGTTTTAGCACTGGACCTCCCTATTAGTAACAATCAAAAATGTCATTAGATGTGGTCAAATGTCCCTTGGGAGCAAAATCTCTTCTCCCTTCTAGGAAGAACTACTGAAATAAAAATAACTCTTCTTCTTACATCAAAGACTTATTAAACTAATACTTGAGTACTTGATATATTATTAGGGATAAGATCAGATATTCTGGCCTAACTTATGAGTAAGAGAATAAAGACCGGCATCAACTCAAGCTTGATTCCTACGAGCTGGAGGTCCGACATATTTCTCCTTGTCAATCTTTTTTACTAATTCTGACAACAGCCATCCTTCTCATAGGCACTCCATTCTGCCAAGAAGTCTCCTGCCCAAAGGTGCTCAGCTACCTTACTCCCTAGGCTGACAAGACCACTGTAGCCACCTTGCTCCATGGGCCAAGAAGCCCACCATGCCATCTCACACCAGTATCCTAGTTCTGCTGCAGCTGTTATTCTGCTGCTGGGATTGCTCTCATGTCTCAACATCTCCAACACTGCAGCTCTTGAAGAGGTTGTCACCAGAAACTACACATCCAAAGAATGCTCCTTGTTCTTCTTGATGGCAACAAGGTCCTCTCTCAATCGGTGAATGGTTCTTTTTAAAAGTCTAGCAGTTGCAAAACTGATTCTCTCTGTGGACCACAGACACTTTATAAACATAGCTGCACCCTCACACCAATTCAATATAGCTTGTTTGAATCCAAACCCTACAGACATTCCACATATTATTTGCACAGTTCCACTCAATCATTTTATGGGTATTACAAGTCCATGGTAAGACCATTTGAACACAATGCACTGCACCACAATACATGCATACAGATACTGATAAAAGAAGCTGGGGGGGGGGGGAAGAAGCAGCAACAGCTAGGAGATGAGATATATAAAAAAAATTTTTATAATTCTTTCAGCTATTTGTGCTTTAAAAAAATGATCCTTAATAAAGTATCCTAAAATAAGTACTTAGTAGTGACAAGACATTTGTTAGATGTTTTCATTAGAGTGGACATAAGACAAGTAACCACACAAAACAAAAACAAAAAATTGTTGAGTCAATGCCATCTGTTTCAGAACAGAACAAGGACCCCATAGGATTTTCAAAAGCTGATTCGCTGAAAGTAGATTTTCAGGTCTTTCTCTCAAGGTGCTTCTGCATGGATTCACCCCTTTAAGGTTTTAGTTAACAGCCAAGCATATTAACCATTTAGACGTTACCTGTTTAGGGTCACCAAGTTTCAGAACTGCTACAAAGACAATGGTTAACTGATACTTCCTGCACAACTCTACCTTAAGATTCTAACCCTAATAATATAAAAAGCGGCAAGTTTAAATATACATATCTTGGCTGTTTGTTAGCTTACTTACCTTTTACCTTTAATTTTGGTTTCTCGTATTTCTAAATTGTCCTCTTCCTCATCTTCTCCTTTTACCTAAAACAAAGCAGTTTATTCTATTTTTAATGTCTTTTGGCATTTAAATTCGGAATGAACAATTAATCAACTGCCTCAGTATGTCTATATTATCTATGTAAACAACCCATTTGCCCCTTTTAAAAAAATCTATATAATTAGCTTAATTTACATTATATTTTGTTCATATATATTGTGAGGGCATATTTTCCCCTTAAAATTATCTTTCTACTCACACTTTTTAAAGATTGCTTTAGTAATAATTTTTCATTCAAACAAAAACATTGTAATGACTTACCTTTATACTAAATAAGTTATAGTTGTTGTTGTTGTTATGTGCCATCGAGTTGCTTGCAACTCATAGCAACCCTATGTACAAGAGCCCTAAACATCGCTCTATCCTGTGCCAACCCCACCATCTCAAACACACTCATTCCCACCACTCCACTCACAGAATCAATCCATCTCATCGAGAGTCTTCCTCTCCTGCGCCGTCCCTCCACTCTCCCAAACATAATGTCCCTCTCCAAGGACCAGTCCCTCCTTGCAACATGCCCAAAGTATGTCAGACGAAGCTTCAGAATCCTTGACTCCAGGGAACATTCTGGCTTCACCCTCTCCAGGATAAACCTGTTTGTTTTCCTAACAGTCCATGGTATATTCAACACTCTTCTCCAGCACCACAACTCAAAGGCATCAGTTCTCTTCCTATCCCAATTCACTGTCCAACTCTCCAATGCATAGCACGTAATTGCAAAGACTATAACCTGGATCAGGTGCACCTTAGTCTCCAGCCTGACGTCATTGCTTTTCAGTACTCTTGAGAGGTCCCTCACAGCTGACTTTCCCAATGCAATTCATCTCTTGATTTCCTGGCTACTGCTACCAAGAGTGTTGACTGTGGGACCAAGAAAACTAAAACTGTTAACTACCTCAATCTCTTCACCATCCATACTGATGCTGCCAATTGGCCCAGTAGTGAGAATCTTTGTTTTCTTGATATTGAGCTTCAATCCATATTGAAGACTGCAGTCCTTGACCTTCTGCAGCAAGTGCTTCAGGTCCTCCTCAGTTTCAGCAAGCAGCGTTGTGTCATCTGCATAATGCAGGTTGTTGATGAATCTTCCACCAATCTTCATGCCACATTCCTCCTCGTACAGCCAGCCCAGCTTCTCAGATGATCTGTTCTGCACACAGATTGAAAAGGTATGGACACAAAACACATCCCTGACGGACCCCGTTCTTGATTTTGAACCATCCAGTGTCTCCCTGCTCTGTTCTGACGACTGCCTCTCGGTCCAAGTATAGGTTTCACATTAGCACAAATGTTCTGAAATTCCCATTCTTCTCAGAGTCAGCCATAGCTTGTTGTGATCCACACAGTCAAAAGCCTTTGCATAGTCAATGAAGCACAGATAGACATTCTTCTGTATTCTCTGCTTTATGCCAAGATTCATCTAACATTAGGTATAATATCCCTAGTTATAGAAGTTTAACAAATATATAACATTTTCCTGAGTGAACAAATACACAAATATTACACTTTCAAGTACAACTGCCAAAGGCTTCATATTTCCTAATTCTCAAGTCAGATGTTACCGCATCTGCACAAAGTTTAAGTCTCTACTGATATATGTTTCTTTTTAAGGACTGGTTGCTAGGTTCTCATTTTTCATCTTTAATTAATTTATTGTTCCAACATTGCACCATTACAAAGCAAATCTCCTTGATGCTACTAGTTACCAGTGTGATTGATGGGTATTTTTCCTAAATTGTTTTCCTCATTTGTATTCAAATATGCATAGAAAATAAATATAGCATTGTTTACTGATCTTTTTTTTTCCACCAACATTTGCTTCAAGTTTTAATTAGTACTATCATTTGAAAGACAGAAAGAATGCTGAGTGTCAGAGAAAACTGTCTCACTAATATTCCATTAGTTGTGTTACACTGATAAAGGAAGCAGCGGGAAAGAGTTGATGAGCCAGAGTTTCAGAGCATGAGAAGTCTTTGGGTATCAGCAATCTCCAGCGTTAAGAGCACATTAACGTTCTAGTGGACTCACGCAGAGGACACAGTCGTCCAGCACCCAGCACCCCTTCAGCACTGAGGAATTTATTCTTCTGTTTACTGATACTCTAGAGAGATCAAAACTGATTTTACTAGCACAAAAGAAGTAACAGTGTCAAAAATCCTTGGGGAGAAGGAAAGTCATTACTTGACACATTACCTTGTTCTCATAATGTACTGCAATAAGATGTATACCTAGGGAAAGGAGACTAACTTCCACAAGCTTCAGAATCTTTTTGAGAACATCTTATATCACAATAATGAGGAATCTATTATATGACAAACCACCAGTCTTTTTCCCAACCAAACTCACTCACTCACATGCATATGTGCACATTCTCACACAAAATCTTAGAGCAACCTTTCAAGACTACAGCAGTGATTTTTCATGGGGATACAAAAAGCTGTAATGATAATTTTAAATATTTCAAAACATCTAAAAGTACTATCCTTAATAAAGTTTTTACAAGCTAAAAACGAATCACTTTCATTATGTCGACCAGAAGCTTCCCACAGAAGTATACACACTTATCAGAAACTCCCAATTTTCAACTACCTGATTATTTTCTTTTAAAAATTACTTAAAAATTAGGTAATATTTACTTCCTGATAATTTTCAATGAAGATACAAGGAAGCTGAAAAAAAAATTAGGTAATATTAAAATAGAGAATCCAAATGAGAGAAAAAGGAATAAAATGAGTTCTTGGTTGTAAAAAGGTAACATGGATTCCTAAATCAATAATCACAATGGCGTCTCTAGAAAGCTGTGAAGCTAATAATCCAAAAGCCACACCTTTCTGGCAGTTCTACCAAATTCTCCAAGGGAGAAACATAGGCAATTTCCTCCCATGCAGTTTACTGCTTCATGCTTCAGTCTGTGAAGAGCCCGTTGCAGCTCAAGATCAATGAGGGTGAAAATCTTTACTAAGGCAGACTGTAGTCTCTCTCCCACAGTACAACAGCCGGTAAGTTTGAATCACCTATTAGTTAAACCAAGCAGTTAATCAATGATCAACTATGGCTCTTTTGCTATTTGGACAGAGTACGCATAAAGTAGCACAATATCCATTAAGTCCCTCCTGGGATTCAAAATTAACAGATAAATAAATGATTTTTAAGAAACCTTGTGACCTTATGGCTTCAATACAACCCTCTCGCAATCCTCAAAGACGGAAGAAGTAAATGAAGACCAGTTTGAAATCAACCATAATTTTAAGATCTGACTTCGCATTTTATTATAAAGTCTGTACATTTTCTCTTTCTTTTTGTTAACCTCCCTGAGAATTATACCTGCACTCAGAGGTTTGTTAGCAGGATTAAGGTTACTGAGAAAGAAAGCATATGTGATGCAAATTCTCAATAAGAAGAGTACTCAAGCCATGGACTGCCCAAAGAATATTTGTTATTTTATCTTGTTTTATAGAAAATGCTTCGTGTAGGGGAGGAGGATGAGACTTCATCTTACCTTCTTTGGGCAAGTGGTCAGGCTTTTTAAGGGTCAAGGGTTCGAAGAGGGGAAAGACCCTCAAGGTGATGGACTAACACAGTGGCTGCAACTGCGGGCTCAACACAGCTCACACTGGGAGGACAGCCCAGGATCAGGCAGTGTTTCCTCTTGGGAACACAAACTTAACTCCACAGCACCTGACGACCCAACAACTGTGAATCGTCAGTGTCTCTTGTGCTCTATCCATACAGTGAACAGCCTGACTCAACTACGACCAGATTTAACATTCAAAATAGTCAAAAGTAACAGAAAAAAACTAAACGGAAGTTCCGCTTCATCCGTCCACAAGCCTTTGACTAAAACTGATCATTTCATGATGGACACGGCATGAAAGGGAATGAGTAGTCATTTCAGAAACCACACTACCCATAAATCCACCTTTATAGCTTACAGGAAACAGACACTGTAATGACTAGTCTGTTCTGAGCAAGTAACTGTTAATCATTTAATGGGGGTTATTTAATGAAAATAATAATAATTTAATGAAAATAATAATGGAAAGCAAACTGCGTGCGTGTGTTCTCAAAGGCAACATTTTCAGAAGTATAAAAAAGTGTTGACTGAAATACTTGCAAATGCATAGGTTAAATCTTTAAGCCGCTCGCTATCGGGTGTAAAGAACGAGAAGCCGTAAGTAGAAGAGATTTTACCTTTCTGCACAGTATGAAAAAGAATGTTTTGTGATTTTAAAACCACTTTTCATTTAGACAAACACGTGTCATGTTAACAAGGCTTTCTAGCAACTCCACTGGATTGCAGCGGGCAATGCCTAGAAAGCAGCAAATCAAGGATGTGCACGTCTTCGTCCTCCAGCTCCGGGACGGCTATGAGCTGGGGAAGGGGGTCCGAGCACGGACACCGCGTGAAGCACGCGTCCCGAGGCCCCACTCGGCGTGGCGGGCAGAGCGCGGAAGGCAGGCTCGCAGCCCAGCAGCCGGGACTCGCCCACGTGAGCGCCGCCTAAGCTCCAAGCTGACGTGTCCGCAGCGGCGAGGAGTGCGGCGGAGCTCCCGCCCCTCGCCCCGAGAGCCTCCGTGCGCCGCCTTCCGCGTCCCCCAGGCCGGGTTGCTCAGCGCCCCGTACGACTGCAGGCCCCTGCGGCGGAGCCCCGCCGGCCCGCACTCACCTGCACCCCGAGATGCGCCAGCCGGGCCTCGAGTTCAGGCTCCAGAGCCAGCAGGAAGGAGGAGGTGCGGGATGAGGAGCCGCCGCTCGGGTTAGCCAGGACCACTTCGGCCGTAACCTTGGCCAGGTGGCTGCTCAGGTCCACCGTGCGCTTCACGTCCTCGTTGACCAGCGGCAGTACTTCCGAGGAGGCGCTGCTCATTGCCGGGGCCGAAGCCCCGAGCAGCAGCAGCATCAAGCACAGGCAGGCAGGGAGCACCTCCATGTCCACCACGGAGCTGAGCAGCAGGCCCGGCCCAGCGCCGTCGCCGACCCGCCCCCTGCCACCAAGAAGCTGCTCATTGGGTCCAGGCTGGCGCCACAAGATGGCGGCACCCAGAGAGAAGGCCCCTCAAGTCTCCATGGCAACCGGGCGGCCCACTGGGCGCCTGACTGGAAACATACTAGCGCTCCGTTTTGCAAATCTTTTCTTTGCAGAGCAGTTATCACCCTTGCCCCAGTAAGTTAGAGTCCATGCATTGGCAACTAACAACACGTGGAGATGACCCTTACGAAAAAGCGAGGTGCTGAATTAGGTGATTTCAAACCTAAATCAAAATTCCATTTTAAGCTAAGATTTGCATTTCTGTCCTACGGAAAACCATTCTGCGTCTTTTGGGAGGTTTTTCTAGATAAAGGAGCCCTTTTGATCTGGTGGTAAGAAACTGCTCTGCAATCCCAAAGACCCGAGGTTCAAATTCACCAGCTGCTGTGCCTCTGAAAACCCGCTGGAGGGTCAATTATGCATTGGTTCGGACAGCAAAACAACCACCACCACGTAGATAAGAATACTTATAACAACTGCCTTCAGGATTCGGACTGATTGTTGGACCCATAGGATTTCCAAACAGGTAAACCTTTAGGGGAAGCAGGTTGGTTCAAACTGACTGGCTATCTTTTTGTTATCGGCCAAGTTCTTTAAACACTATGGGGTTAGTTAAATGAAGTTAACTAACTCATTACCTATTGAGTTGGAATCTATTCATGGCTGAGAACCGGTTGGATTTTTAAGGCTATCAATGAAATGGAAGCAGGAGTGGCATCCACTTGCTAAAAAACATGCCTATGGAAACCCTATGAAGTTTGATAAATAATGATAGTTATATAGAAAGGATTCAGGCCTTTTTTTCATAGGGTTGCTACGAGTCATGCTCAACTCAGTGTCAATTAACAACAACAAATAGAATGGTGCGAAATTGCCCATCTTTATCCCGCAGACTGCCCTAGTGGATTCAAACTGGCATAGAGCTGCTTGTCTTTGAGTTAGCAGCGCAATTCCCTGAGGAATAGCTACAAGAGCTCCCCTTACACAAAGTTAGAAATTATAATAGAAGGTGGCCTAGTGGCAAGAGGCTGCACTGCAATTCACCATATTCTCTGCTGGAGGAGGAGGGGCAATCGCCTCCTGTACCACTCAGATCTGATTTGATGGTACACACACACAAAATAATTTAAAAAAAATAATTATAATAGAAATTTAGAATATATAGAATTTAATAGAAAGTATGATAACATAACTATAGGGAGCTCTGATGGTTTAATGGTAAGGACTTGTGCTGTCAATACAAAGGTACACGGGTACACTCCTGCTCAGCAGGAAAAAGATTCCTCACTTTTTATTTGCTGCCTCTGAAAACCCAAACTTATCTATGGTGGTGACCAATTCTAGGGTACATGTTTCCCCCTACTTTATCAAAAAGGATCTATGATCCCTTTAAGAATGATCAGCACTGGTAACCAGGCATCATCTAGTTCTACTTGTTGTTGTTCTTGTTGTTAAGTGCCGTAGAGTCGCCTGCGACTCATAGCGACCCTGTGAAGGAGAGTCCTTGACGCTTGGGTTTCTTTCTTCCTCTCTCCAGGTTCATAGGGTTTCCGGAGGCAAGCTATTATGGAAGTGGATGCCACTCCTCCTTCCACGCTTGTTCAATCGGGGAGCTCCACCCCACTCTCAGTCCGCATTGGGTAGCCAACCATTACGCATTTGACACATCCGTGTCACAGTGTCCTCACAGCAACCACAAGTTCTACTAGTAATTAAAAATAGCCTTATCTTAATAACCTTGGTTCATTTCTTAGGAATTTACTGCTGTTGTGGGTGGTCAATTCAAAACCAATTTATAGCTGACCCTCCAGCGGGTTTTCAGAGGCAGTTTAATAGCAGGGGAGGAGATTACCTACCCTCCAGTGAAGCAGCTAATGTATTCAAACCAGGTGTCTCTGATATTGCAGCGCAGTTTCCTACCATAAGGCTACAGAGCTCCTTAGTAATTCACTGTTACTGTGTACCATGGAGTAAGAACTAACCCATACCTGACCCTCCAGCAAGTTTTCAGAGGCAGTTTAATCTCATGGGAGGAGATTTCCTCTTTCTCCCTTGGAACAGCTGGTGTATTTGAACTGTGCCTTTAAGACTACAGCTCCTTACCACTAGGCCACCAGAGCTCCCTCTGGAATTCACTAGAAAATGAAAACGTTTTCTACTTTCTCTTTGTCCTCTACTTTATTACTTTAACAATCAGTACATTCATCTTCCCCATATTCAAACTAGAAAAGACATGCTTGTTTCCCATATAGATGTTTTTGTATATAGTTTCAGTTGTTAGGGTCTATCAGGTTGACAATAGGGCAACAGATGGAAACCTTGCCCTAACCTGTGCCATCCTCAATCTCTGCTGTGCTTAAGGCCATTGTATTCACTGTGTCAATTCATCTCGTTGAGGGTCTTCCTCTCCTTCAGTGACCATCTTTGCGAGCATGACCAGTCTATGCAAAAAGAAAGTCTAATGATTCACTCTATACTTGGGTCTTACCACATTTAAATAATTGGAGCATGATAGGCCAATATATTTTACAGATGCACAGAATTCCCATGAATATCCATTAATATAATGCCAGCTTACTCTGGTTTTGTTTAACCAAACAAAAACACATGGGCATTTAGTTGATTCTGACTGACAGGATTTGGCAGTTTTCATTTTGCCATATTTAGGGTCACTATGATTCAAAGCCCCCCTAGGATGAAGACACCTAACAACAAAACTATGGTTAGGAAGTAAACAATTAGGAATGTCCATCCACAGTCTTCCACTATAATTTGTTAATAGGATAACCACACACACAAAAAATCTTTCGAATTCCTGGAAAAGGTTATATTTGACAACTTTTTCATTTGTTGTTGTTATTATGTGCCGTCAAGTCGCTTGCGACTCATAGCGACCCTATGTACAACAGCCCTAAACTCCGCTTTGTCCTGTGCCAATCACACTGTCTCTGACACTCCCATCCCAATTATCCCAGTCACTGAATCAATCCACCTCATAGAGGGCCTTCCCCTCCTGCGCT